ATTTCTCTTGAAGGTACCACCTTCCTTCTAGATCCATCACTCACAAACTCTTTCTCCCATATTCCAAATAACAAGTCTTATCAGCTCTACCTCCACAATATCTTTTCCCTCCATTCTCTTCTCTAACTCACATGGTCACCACCTTAGTTCATTTCCATCACCTAACCAAGCTGCAATAGCCTAGAAATTGGTCTCACTGTCTCAAGCCTGTCCTCTTTCTATTCCGTCTTCCACACAGCTGCTATTGTGATATTCCTAAAGCACAGCTCCAACCACGCCAATCTTCTCCTTAATAAATTCCAGTGAGTTCCTATTACCACTAGGATCAAATTTAAATTCTTCTGTCTAGCCTTTAAAGTCCTTCACAAGCTGGCTTCAGCCTACTTTCTAGATTCACTCCTTTCCTTGCACTTTCTGGGCCCACTCAAACTGACCTTTACACTGCATCTCCTTTATCCCTTTGTTTGAAAATAAGGTATGACATGCCTGGAATACACTCCCTTCTCACTTACACCCCTTTGAATTCCTAGTTTTCTACAAAACTCAGCTCAAGTGCCCCCTGCTACACGAGGCCTTTCTTCACCCTCTTGGATGCTGGTGATAGGGAAGGGAAGGGAAGGGAAGGGAAGGGAAGGGAAGGGAAGGGAAGGGAAGGGAAGGGAAGGGAAGGGAAGGGAAGGGAAGGGAAGGGAAGGGAAGGGAAGGGAAGGAAGGAAGGGAAGGGAAGGGAAGGGAAGGGAAGGGAAGGGAAGGGAAGGAAAGGAAAAAGAAAAGAAAAAGAAAAAGACTTTTTTTTACTTTGTATATACTTATATATGTACAAGTTTTCTCTCCTTGTAGAATATAAACTCCTTGAGGGCAGGGACTGTTTCATTTTTATCTTTTTATGCTCAGGCACAGTGCTTGGCCTGTGCTTACTGATTGATTGCTTTTTCCTTTGAGTGAAGATGTGATTTTTAGAAAGCCAGAATTCATTCTGAGCAATCATGGTAAATAACTTGGTTAATTAAACCAAATAAAACATTGGCAGGAGGGGAAGGGGGGGAGGATTCAAACAAGAGATGTCATTGTAAAGTAATAAGATTGACTTTCTTGTACGGTTCACAAATTAGCTATGATAGGTTTAAGATGTCAGCATATACAAATGTCCAGTTGTATACTACCTCCACTTCCCCTCCCCTTATTATAATTGTTTATTATCATCATTATTAATAATAATAGCTAGCATTTATCTAGCAATTTAAGATTTGCCAAGCCCATTACATGTATTCTCCCATTTGATAACACTTTAAAGTCACCCTGTCTACTACTACTCCCTAACAACCAAGTAGTCCTTAGTAGATGGTACATAGAACAGTCTTCCTCATCACCTGTGTTCTTTCCCCTTTTAACTGTATCACAACAATGCCAATCAGGCTCTTTACCCCTTTCCTGTCTTTTATTGTGATTCTTCCTTGCCTATTTGTTCATCAGTTCCATTTCCAGTCATTTGATTATAAAATGACAATACAAAATTAAGATAGGCTTCCAACCTGAATGAAACTCAGTGCCTGAAGGACATTATTTTGGCAATTTCTTTCCATTTTTTTTTCATCCTGATGAAATGTATGGCATAGCCAGTGTGCTGAACCCAATTAACTAGTCACAAATGCCTGGTTTCAAACCATAAGAAAGTCACTTTTATCAGTCTTGCCTCCTCCCAACATAGTAAAGTTGTGGTAATGGAACCCCATGAGAATTCCTAGTTCTTAAAATACACAATTAATACTGTGGTTGGACTTTAAAGAAAATTTTCTTAATGAATGGTTGACCTAAATAAGTCATATTATGTAATACCACTATAATTTCAGAGTCTGTGCAATCTCTGCGAAATAGATAAATAATCTACAGACTTAGTAGTCACTGATTATAATGATAAGGACTCCTCTCCACTGTTTTTGGAAAAATTTTAAGATTCTTATATATCGATCCGAATGTTGTTTTGCCATTAATATTTCTTCCTTGGCGTGACTGTTTTCTTCAACATTGCTGTATAATGAAAACCAGGAAGTGGGATGTACCATTTTTGCCAGCCGCTCTGATCAAGATACTAGGGTTAATGTAAGGTCTGTATAATTCATAGAGAACAGATGAAGGAAGGATAACTTTAAGAATCTGATCCTAAATGATACAAATTGTAATATTTTGACTCCAGGAGCAACAGAGATGAACACACACACACATTACTTCATTTTTTAAACAGAGGAAATAAATTGTCTATAAAAATGAAAACACTTGAGAAAGGGAGACAGCAGAGTGTGGTAAGTAGAAAGAATGCTGAATATGAATGTAATCACAAGATCTGGGTTCAAATTCTGTTTCTACTAAGGTCACCTATGTGACCTTGGGCAAGTCATTTCTCTTTAGTTTCCTCTTCTGCCAAATATAACGGTTATGCTGGATAATCTTTATGGCTCCTTTCAGTTTAAAATCTGTAATCCTATATCAGATCAGGAATAGAAAGCAGGAAAGCTCAATAATTATAAGGCATGAATTTTTATTTGGTGACAGGAAAGTGGTTGAGAATTGGGGAAAACAGCCTGGAATTAACTAGATAATATGTTTGATACTGTACAACTTTGAAGACCTGTGTCACTGGCATATTATTATATTCTTGGATATATGATTACATTATACATAATATATATTACTATATTCTTAAGATAATACCACCAAGACAGTAAAATTAAAATTCTACTCAATTCCCCCTTTCATGCTTGTTGTCATTATAAAGGATTAGACTGAACTAACATAAAAAATAAAGGTAAAACTCATATTTAGCCAATGTTTTTCAAACTGAATATTGAGGGGGAGGGGTTCTGACATTGGCCATTAATACATGATCATCACCTTTCTTCCTTGTTCTCTGCACCTGAATGTGCCTCACCTTGTTTACCAGTAACACTTTGCTCCTTTCTATTTCAGCCATCAGCTTTCTCTCCTATCTATGGACGGGACATAACTCTCTTGAAACACTGATCATTTCTAAAATAATTGAAAGAAAGACAAATTGTTCCCATCACTCTCCCTTTTTTGAAGACTCACCTTCTTAAATTAACAGAAGAATGATCTGGAGCATGGGAAGGGGATTTCATAAGGACGTTCAGAACTGTCACAGGCTGAAAGTTTTAGAACTATCAGAGCCTAAGCTTCTCCAGGAATAAGAGGAAAGTTAATTTAGTCATTTATTTCCTGGATAACCACAGTCTCACCCAGGCAAAATAACAGTCCGTGTCTGGCAAAATATGCTCTGGATCTTTTTTTCTTCATATGAATTTTTCCATTTTAAAAACTTTAGGTTGCTAGCACGATTTAAAAAGTCTTGGTATCCTGGCTAATAATAGTAGCTAATTACTGCATGGCACTTTACAGCTTACAAAGCCCTTTTACCTACAGTACCTCCTCTGGTTCTCCCACAGCCCTGTCACATAGCTATCCTCATTTTAAAGCCAAGAAAACTGAAGTTTAGAGAAGTTAAGTGAGGGCTAGTAATTGGTTTCATTTTAGAAAAACTATATTAAAAGTTGTTTTCTCTTGTTAACCAACAACAACCATTTTGTCCCAATGCGTTAATACAGCTAATGTTACTAGATTAATAAGTATGTAATGACCATACGTGCAAACATTTAGCATTTTAATATTTTGCTTAAAAAGCTGGGAATAAGGGATTGATATTTCTTGAAAAATTAGCTTCCTTGACTTTTTAAAATTCTAAACAATAATCCAGACTTTCTACACCAAACAAAATGTATTTGCAATGTGCTTTCCCACCTGGCTCTCCTTTGATTAAGAACTTGAATATGCTGTTTAAAATGGCAAATTTTAACAGGGCTGGGCAAGAAATCATTTTCTCTGTTCCGGCATTTACCAAGCAATGATTTTTTGCTGCTTAATGTGCTGTTTCATTCTCTCTTGCCTCCAGGAAAACACACCCAAGTATTATTTGTACATTTCTCAAACATCCCAGACAGGTTTAAAATCCTCCCCGCTAAATTCCTTAAGACACAAAAAGCTTCCTGCTCTTAGGTTATGCCCTAGGCCCCAGCATACCTGATGATCTTTTGCACAAATGAAAAGGGAAATGCAACCCATGAGGGGAAAGTGTGTGGTCTGGATAATGTGGTTAGGAGAGGAGGTGATACATTCAACAATGAACTTGTAAAAGAAAAAGGAAGCTCACTGGTCTCTAGAACCAACAGGAAGCAGTTACCTGGTAACTTACTTCCCCCAAGTAAACCGTGGATTAACAGTCTAAAGATACTAACAGGGTTTTGAGATATTGAAAAAATACCCCACCTTACTATCAAGAGTTTCACTTTGGGAAAGTAAGTAACAAGTAGGCCAGTGGTTCTCAAAGTGTTTTCCAAGGAACAAGAGGGCCCCCGAAATTTTTTTGGGAGGTCTTCGAAGTCAAAACTGTTTTCATAGTAATATTGTTTAAATTGCTAATACGGGAAGTATCGATAGATTATAACCCACATAAACAAAAGCTGGGGCGGGGTGGGGGGCTTAATAATTTTAAGAGGGTAAAAGGGTCTTCAGATCAAAAAATTTGAACACCCCTGAAGCAGTCTATGAGCACTGGAGCAGAGGAGTCTTGTTTTTGAAGTTCCAGTCATAAAACCAGAAAAAGAACTAGGAAAGCACCGGCAGGACCCTATAAGCCTCGAAGAAATGCATGCCAAGAGTTAACTCCGAACATTTCTCGTGAGCTCCCTCCTGCAAAGGGCTTCTCAAAGCTTAAGCACTCTTCGCAAAAGATAAAGGATTTGGTTAATAAAGCATCCCCTCGGCCCTTGAGCCTACCCCCTGCCCCGGTACCTTCATCCCATCCCGTAGGAGCCCAGAGTGCTACTGATTCCCAGTTAAAGTGAAGAGTCAAAAGATGCTCTAAGATCGGTGGCCCCTGGACATCCCGGGAGCGGGGCGGGGAAGAAGGAGAACACCGACGCTTGGTTTACCTGCAGCTTCCAGCAGAGCCAAAGGACCAGGCACCGGAGGAGGAGGAGACTGCATCCTCCAGCCGCCCTCCTGGGCTCCAGGGGCGCCCGGAGCCCCAGCGTGCGGTGCGGGGTGCTGCGGCTCCGGGGCCGAGAGATCAGCGTGCCCTGGAGCGGCGCGCCAGGACTGGGCTGCCGGGACCTGTGGCCGCCCGGGACTAACTCCCTCCCGAGGCTGGGAGGGAGGGCTGTCACCGCTCGCCCCCAGGGCGCCGCCGCTTCGCCTCCGCTGCTTTCTGCGGCTGCATTTATCCTCTGCTCAGTCCCCCGGCTCTCTTCCCCTCCCTTTCCCTCCCCTCCCCACCTCTCGCAGCTGCTGCTGCAGAAAACCCTAGGGAGGAGGGAAGGCAAGGAAAGGAAGGAAACGTGAGTCTGTGGTGTGGTCCCAGCGTGGGGATTTTACCACTTCCTAACCATCCTCTACTTCACACCCACTTCCCTTCCCATTCATTCAGCTCTCCACCCCCGAAAGGGAGCCCTGCTCCGCTCCCCTCCGAATCTGTTTGGGATGCAGGGAGAGCCTAAGAAGAGAAGGGAGTAAGTCTTCTCGGATGGCTGTGGTGACTCTGAACTTAATTACACTCACCACGCGGAATGAGCCAGACCAGCGCTCCCATAATTTGCAACCGTATGTCAAGCACTCAGTGCCAGCCACACTGAGACCCTCCGGCCCTCCCAGAGATCCGGGCCATGGTCTTTCACGCAGGGCCGTGTGAAAGCCAGCACCTCCCAGAGTAAAATCACTGGGTGATTTGATGGAGAAAAAGGAACAGTAAGGGAGATGGGAAAAGAAAGGAGGAAATGGGAAGTGTATGGCAGCCACAGTAAAAGACTATGAAAGGTAGCATGGCCTACTAGCTATTAATCCGGCCTGTGACATACACTATCTCTATAATGTGGTCAAATAACTTATTCTCCCAGAGTTTCAACTTCTTCAGCTACAAAATGAGGATAATAATGCCAGTGGTATTTACCTTAAGGCATCTAGGTGGCAGTGGATGAGACAGCTGGGCCTGGAGTCGGGAAGACTCCTCTTCCTGAGTTCAAAATTGGAGTCAGCCACTTACTCTGTTTTTCTCAGTTTCCCCATCTGTAAAATGAAAAGAAAATGACAAACCACTCCAGTACCTTTGCTGAGAAAACTCCAAAAAGTGTCATGAAAAGTTGAACATCATCAGTACCTATCTTAAAAGGTGGTTGTGAGGAACAAATGAAATTGTGCACTTTGCAAACTTTAAAGCAATTTATAGTAATTTTTAAAAATATAAATAGAGATGAGAACTTCCATTTTGTCTGGGGAGTGTGAGAAAGGGTATTCCTCTTGGAGCCAGAAAACTTGAATTTCATTTCCAGTTTATACACTTACTTAGATGTGTGATTCTGAGCAGCTCACTTGTCTTCACTGTATCAATATCCTTCTTTTAAAAATGAGAATAGGATGTAAAGTTTTTGAGATCAGGGACCATCTGGCTTTTGTATTTGCACAGTGCCTAGCACATAGCAAGTGCTTAAATGCTTTTTGATTGAGTGCCTACCTTACAGGAAAGTTTTGAGGAAACAATTTGGTGAATAAAGTGCTAGAAATGTAAACTATTAATAAAAATATTAATTTAGAGTAGCATGTAAAACAATATTCTCAGAATTTTATTTCCCTCCAACAAAAATACATCAGGCAGCTGAAATGTCCATTGAAAATCTGAGTTTTCATCAATCTGTTAAGGGGAACTCTCTCTAACTGTTAGGAGAAAACATCTCTTCTTACAGAGCAGGGAATTCTTGAACAAGGAAGAACTATGTCTAGTTAAGGGGTACAAGGAAAACGATAAAGAATTCAAGTGGGTTTTTTTAATTTTTTCATCCTGTATAATAGCCGAGGCATCAGGGAGCCTTCTTTTACTATCTAGACTGAGGGTTCTTAAAGACTGTGAGATATATTTTTTTTAATATTTTGATAACTGCTTTTCAATATAATTAGTTTCCTTGGGAATCCTTGTAATTTATTTTATTTATTTATATATGTATGTCTATGCATATGTATATGGGTATATATGTATATGCATATGTGCATATATATAATATATACACTATGTGTGCATTTATATAAGTGTGTGTATTGTATATATATACACATATACATTTGCATTTATCTATACATATATGTGTGTATAGATATATAGAGATATATAAAATATGGTCCAAGATTTTTTCCAGGTGTTTCTTATATTCCCATCTTTCAGATATATTGAGAATCAGTTCCTAATTGCCCCCAAACTTATGTATCCTCCAGCATAGCCCTTCCCTGTCCATACTTAATTTGGTCTAGCTTTTCTTCCCACCTTTGTTTTCCTTAGCATCATTTCTACTTTCTTATATAGCAAGCACATTAGGGACTGTGATATTAGAGTCCAGATGTGGTAGCTCCATTATCACAGATAGAAGAATTTGCCACAGAAATCTTTACAAGTAGTTTCCATTTTTTCATCTGTTTGGGATCTTCTTTCTAGGTTTGTTTTGTTTTGTTTTGCATATAAATGCTTTTTTTTTAGCAGAATTGCATCTTCAGCAAACAATTTGAGAAGTGATTCACTCAGACCCAGTGTTGTTCCTACAATGGTTGGATCTCTAAACATGCACATACTTTTCTTTAAGTTGCTTACATCAAGAATTACAACATCTCAACAATATGGAACAAAACAATTCATCTCTAGTAAAATAAGCAGTGGGTTATTAGGTTATTTCTAACTATGCCTTTGATCAGCACATAGTTACACACAAACTGGTTGAGATGGCTTATGATTATGAAGTGCTAAAGGGTTGCAAATCATATTACGTATTACCTTCTTTGATCCCCACAACAAACTGGAGCTGTCTTTTTCTTTTATACAGGAGGAAACAAATTCAGAAGCTAAGTGACTTTACTTCTTAAGGAAACATAGCTAGCATTCAAGTCAGGATTTGAACCTAGGTCTTCTAGACTTCAAGAACAGTAACTTGATTCATAATGGACACTGTCTCTTACACTATAACCAATTACTATGCAAACAGACATGCAAATGATAGTAATTTATATATACCCCATACATTTATTACTGAAATCAAGCTATGAAACCAACAGAACAGGAACAAACTCTTAAAAAGTAATCTTTTTAAATATCTGCACCTTAGCCGACAATTCCAAAATTGTAAGAAAGTGGCATTTATTGCTTATCAAGAGTGATGAACCTGATACAAAGCAAATATGTGCATAATTATGCTAGAAGTTCTCTATAAATCCAGATTGGTCCTTCTCTAGTCTCTCCTCTTGAGTTGTACCTATTCTTAATGACAATTTTCATTTGAATCCATTAAGGAATGAGACATTTTTGCTTCTGCAATCTGAAAGTCTAATGAGTGAACATAATGAGGAGATGACAGCTGAACTTCCACCGCAATGGCAAGATGAGCTCAAAAGCACCTTCTTTCTAGGTTAATCTTCACATGACTTCAATTTGGTTTGGGTTAGATGTATCTTTCACCAAGCTTTCTGTAAACTTATTTTTCCCTTCACTGCATCTCACTGTTTTATGAGGCGATATTTATCATGATCTTCCACTATCATCCCTTTTCAGATTTTATAAACAAGTTTATATCCTATTATTTCCCTTAGCTACCATATTTCTCCAGTTGGCGGGGATATTTGCTAGTTGAGTGGAGTCTTTATTGTGACAACTGATAGACATTGGCTATAAACTTCCTTAGGAAATTATAGAAGGTTAACTATGTTGATGTCTGTTCTTTTATCCAGTACCCAGTTTCACCTTCAATATCCCACTTAAATAAGTTAGGTTGGGAGCTGATTCAACTGTGTGTCATAGCTCAATTTTCATTTTAATTTTTCTTCTCATTTGATACTGATTTTAATCATTAGTCTAACTAAAGTCGGTAGTCTGACTATACATAGACACTTAAATAATTTCAGTTCTGTGCCCAGTTGTTTTCTGTCAAAATATAAGCTGTTATATTTTTTTTTCAATACTACTTAGTGCTCACCACGTCTAATGCCTCTCAATTACTTTTCTTGAAATTATATGATACAGGATTACAGTACAGGCCAATTCAGTAATTTGTTTTGCTTGCCTGTGTATAATTTGTTAAAAAGTTTCCTTTCTCTCTTTTTTTCTTTTTTGATGGTAAGTAGGGATAGAGAGAAAATAAATATTTATTGAAAAATGTGGGGGGGAGAAGAATTCAGGATTCTGTATGGGGATTCTGTATAGTCTAACAGACCTTTCTTATTTCTTACCCTTCATTCATATTTTCCAACATATCTTTCACCATCCTTCCGTATGTTAACCTTTTCATTTAAATCACTGTTTATCAAAATACATGTTGATTTTATTTAAAGGGTCACATCTTATTCAAGAATTCCTCTCTTCATTCTCTGTAATAGATTTTGGCACCAAAATCACAATCTTCTTCATGGTGGCCTTTGTGCAAATGCCCATTGCTGCAATACAAGATGACCAAGTGCCCTGTAAAATTTTATTTCTTGTTTCCTTTGGATATGTCATAAAGCAACTCAACTCCAAAGAGAACTTTGTGAGACTTACTCTCATTCAATTCAATTTCCCCTTGTCTCTGGTTTCATTTATAGCACAGATTTCCAGATTGTAATTTACTTCCTCCAGGAGTATGACTACAAGTAGGTCCATGAACAAGGTTTTCATATTTAGAAAACCAACAATTAATGTTTATAAATGTTCTAAAAAAACTGTGATACTTAGCACCCTCTCTTTCTTTTTTCATCATTCTGCCACTGTCACTGTAGAAGTGTCAGGAGACTACACAGAACTGAGAGCTACTGTCTTTCGTGGGTTGCCATAACCACATCACCAAGTGACAAGGCTAATAACAATGAGCTTCTCTGGTCTTAGTGAGATTGGCCCTTAGAAAGCAGACATAGTCTGAACCTAGGACCATACTCAAAGTCATTCCAGAAGAGTAGAATTCACTAGTACTTGGGCTCTGCTGACATAGCTACTAAGAATCCAGGATCACCTCTGTGACCCAATAAAGAATCAAAGTGGGACTTTGTAGAGGACCATAAGAGATGGCAAATAATGAAGAAGGAGGAGGAGGAGGAGAAAGGAGAACAACTCGTACTTACATAACACACTTATTTTCATAACATTTTTGCAATCATTGTTTTGTCATACATTCTCATTTTTATGTGACATAGGCAATGAAAGTATGATTATCCTTATTTTACAATGAGGAACGTCTGGGTAGAAAAGACAAGTGACTTGTCCAAGGTCACATTACTATAGGTTGCAGCACAAGACTGTCCCTATCTTCTTCCTCCTACTAT